CCGCCCAGAACAAGCCAAAAGACGACAGCAGGCATGTCTTTGCACAGGCACGTCTTTGCTCCCCTGGCCTGCTTTCGTTGAATTGAATCTTGCAATTGCATTTTTGCAGTAACTTATCCCTCCTGTTCTCTTGTGCTTCTTTTCTCTCTCCTTCCTTTCTGCGCACCCCATCGTCCCCGCGCTGCAACCCAGCTTACGGTCGCTTTTATGTGTCTGGTCAGATGACTAAGACCGACCCTCTCTCGCCCGGTGTGGTGTCCTGCAGCGGCGGCCTCAGGTGTAGAGGGGGGTGCGGATGGGGATGAGCTCTTTCTTTTTGTCGCCGTTACCGACACACGGGTTTTTCGCCTTCCCTCTTCCCCCTCCCCCGCCCCGCGCCACCCTCGCAGCGGCGGGCCCCTCCCTCTCGGACCCCCACGACACTCTCTGAACATGGCTATGAGTCTCTGCAGTGTGTCCGCCTGTCTCACGGTCCGGCCGCTCTACTACGACGCGACGGCCGGATGTCAGGTCGCCTGCTCCTCATCCCGACGCTGGCGCCGAGTGGCGCTGGAATTCTCCCGCCCGTCTGTCTTCTGCTTATTGTGCGGAGCCCGAGTTTAATAAAATGTAAGTTCAGCGCGGAGGGAGTCATCCTCCTGTTTAGGAGAAGGGGGTGGAGGTGGGGAGGTCTGCGTCTGGCCAAGGTCGGCGTCGTCGTCGGAGGGGGAGTACTAGTGGGAAGTGAGGCTGTTCTGTTCACCAACCCTTGTGGGTCCGCAGCTGCACCGGTCCAGGCAGAACAGAACCCCGTCCTCCCTTTCATCGGACTGCTGCTTCTCTCACACACGACGGCAATGCCATCCACCCCCACCCCCACCGCTGCGGAGGAGGGAGGCGGACGACGAGAAAACAAGTAAGAAAATGCGTTCCCCCCTTTGTGTGCTGCTGGCCTCGGCCGCCTCGCCCCCGCCAGCACCGCCACCCCTTGGGGCCGGCCGGCCCACCCCCGGTGGGTGGGGGAGGAGCAGGTTCAGGACTCGTACTTACATCGCCCCCCTCATCCCCCTCGCCTCCCTCTCCTCCTCCTCCACCTCCTCCCCGTCTTTCTGGTCGCATCCTTCTGCGAACGGTGCGCCGCGAGGGCCTTCTCTGTGTTCCAAACCCCAGCGGCCTGCTCCCGGACACGTCCGCGTCCACCCCAAGGAGCGCGCCATTATCTCTGTGCGAGCCGCATTCCGCGCCATCCCCAGCCGCCGCTGATCGCCCCGTTAAACTTCATGATTTCAGGGTGCGGAGGGAGTTCTTTCTTTGGTCCGTTAGGACCCTCCGGAGGATGCAGCGCAGCGCACGGCCCCCGGAGGACGTGCAGTTCCACGAGGCAGCGCACCGGCCGCCCGAGAGGACACCCTGCAGCACACCCTGCAGCACACCTTGCAGCACACCTTGAAGCACACCCTGCAGCACACCCTGCAGCACACCCTGCAGCACACCCTGCAGCACACCCTGCAGCACACCCTGCAGCACACCCTGCAGCACACCCTGCAGGATACCCTAGAGAACACCCTGCAGGATACCCTAGAGAACACCCGGAGGACGCCTTGGAGGATATCCTGGAGGACGACCGGGACGACGACCGGGAGGACGCCTCTCATAGAACCTGCTGAAGGTATGTATGGACGCGGGGGACAGCTCGCCGCCGGCCGTTGTCCAGGAGAGGGGGGAGGATGCGCAGCGGCGGCGGCGGGGTCAAGTCTCGCCAGGTTGGGGTTGACGCCGCTGCCGCCGCCAAGACGGTCGAGAAGAAGGGGCGGGCTAAAGAAAGGGCGAGGACCGGTCCTCCTTCCCTTTGTGAGGAGGTGGGTGGAGGTCCCTCGTGGGAAAGGAAAAGGGATGCCGAGCGGGGGTGTGTGTTGCCGTTGTACGTGTGGTCTGCAGGTCGTCACAGATCGCGGATACTTCCCCATCACATGTCGCCACGACGGCCGCTGAATGGGACCCTATGCAAATGAGGCTCGCGTCCCGCGACTTACGAGGATGTAACAGAAACTTCTCCCAGTCCGCGGCCAGCCGCGGCGGCGGGGACAAGATATGAGAAGATATGACGAGATGAGACGACCCTGATCGCGGTACGGACCGGCGCGCTCGTGAAAGTAACGTATCCTTTTGGGGAGAAACGGTCGCGGCCATGGGAGCTCGTAAAGCCGTGGGGACGGTCCGGCCGGTCGCAGGAGGGGATCGCGTCGGACCGAAGCGGAGCGGCCAAACTTTGACAGGTGACGATATCGGCGCTTATCTGAAAGCGTGCAGTAATAACGATAAAGATATCACCCGATAACACCCTCTCATTTTATTTTTTTTCGGTGGGGGCGGCGAACAGGCGCGCTATGCTGCTGCGGCAGCCACAGCCACCCCGGTTGTGTTGTTGCTGCCGGGTTATCTCTGGGAGTCCAACGACGGGGTCACGATGCACGGCCGGGATGGCGCGCTGCACCGCAACAGCGCCGTCCTGGTGGTCTGGTTGGTCCAGTTGGGCCCCCTGCTGCATCGGCCGCCCCCCTCCACTCCCCGCGGAGGCCCGCCAGGCCGCTCGCGCTGGGCAGCGCTGCGTCGCGCCGCGCCGTGCCTCGCCGTGCCGCGCCGCTCGGAGCGGGTCGACCGACTCACTGACCTTCCCCAAGCGAGGCGGGCCGCGACCGCGCCGCCCGGGAGGAGCGCGCTCCCGCTGCGACAAGTCTGCGTCCGCGCTCTCTCGCTCTCGCTCACGCTCTCGCCCGCCCCCCTCTCTCGCTCGGGCACTCACACCTCTTACGTTATGTTCCCTCTCTCTTTCTCTCGCTTGTGGGGGCCCAGGGAGAAGCCGCCGTCTCTCGCACGAGTCGCCGCCTTGCTGCTGCTGCTGTTGCGTTTTGCCCTTTTTGTTATATTTTTCGTCTTCTTTTTGGACCTTGGCGGGGAAAAAGGAACAGAAAGAAGCACCCGGCTCCTCCGCCTTTTAAAATAAAAATCGCCGTGGCGGCTGCTGCGCCTCTGCGGCCTCGGCTGCCGCGGCTCTGATAGACCGGCTGGCGCTGCGTTTTATTGTGCGGTCTGCCTGCGGCGGGCTCAAAGTGTTACACACTAATCGGACGGACGGACGGACGAGTGACATTTGGACCCGAAAATGATGACGAAACAGGCAATCAAGGGGAGCGGCGAGGCCGGGCCGGCCGGGCACGCCGGCGGCAGATGACTTGCATTGCTGACCGGCGGGTCGGCCTACTTCTTGTTGGAATTGGTGGCCGTGAAAATGAATGCCGCGTACTCGACGCCTCAAAGTTAAAAAAAAAACAAAGCTTATTGTGTAAAAGTTCTCGCACCTTGCTCAATAATGACCTGCAGAGTCAATGACCGCCGAGAATAATGTGTTATTGCCATTGCCATGCCATGTTTGCAGCACACATTTTTTTACTTTGAAGTTTTCGCCGGTCGAATTAATACGCGGTCGCGTCCTGCAGTGCATCCTCTGAGGGGAGCGGCGCCGCCCGCGGGGTCGATACGGTCACCTGTTGGCTACGACTCTCCGCCACGCCGAGCTGCGCTTAGGGCCGCCGGGGCCGGGCGAGCCACTTCTGCTGCTCGGCGCCTCCAAGGCCCTTTGCGTCTCGGACCTCCTCCTCCGCCCCGCCCCGCTCGTCCCGGGAGGTGCCAGAAGGACTTCCGGGCCAGGGGGGAGGAGGAGAGGGGGTAAGGATCTGCTCGGACGTCCGGGCGGAGTGATGATGCAGTCGACGCAACGCTCCGCCTCCGAAGGTTCGCCCCCCCTCCCCCCGCCCCAAGTTTAGGAGGATCGTGCTCGCGGCGTTCTGCGCTGGACTTCCCCTCCACACTGTAGGGACCCTACTTCCTAACTGTGCGGGTGTACGGCCTCTTTTGTGCTAAACGTAGAGCATGAAACATTTCTCATTCATTCGAATGGTGCTAAACGAAAGGGCAGCCCCTACACGCCGCATGAAAAACTAACGGCGTACGGCCGGGGGTTGAGCCAACCCCTCCGCCTCGCGCCTGCTTCGCCTGCTTCGCCTCCCTCGTTCCCTTTTCCTCCCCCAAACGCGCCCTCGGAGAAACACAGGACGCTCTCCCCTCTCCGCCCCTCCCCTCTGTCCCTCGGTGAGTCACTCGCTCTCCCCTCCCCTCGCACTATCTCCGGCCCCAGGCCATCAGCCATCGGGTTTCCCTGAGGGTCCTTTTCCCTCCCTTCCCCATTCACCCCACCCCCGACATCCCCTTTCCCCCCTGCTTCGGACGGCCGTCAGCAAGGAAGGGTCTATTTTGCGCGCCGCATGGGTAAGCGCGGGAGGGAACACCAAACTCTTGCCAAACTTTGACCGGACTAAAACCACCCGCCTCTCGTCCTCCTGCCCGGAGTCCTACCGTGCCGTCCTGAAAGGGAGTGGCCGGGGAGAGGGAGGGGGGAGGGGGCGGCTCTTGGTCGTTGTCATCGTCACGGAGGCGACAACGACAACACCGAGTGTTGTCTTTCTCCCGGCCGGCGGCCCCGCGCCACGGGCGCACCTTTTATTTGTATTAGGGTTCCACCTCTTCCGCACGGCGGGGGCGGGAGGAGGAGGAGAGGGGGGGGGCAGTATTGAAGGTCAGGTATCGGCCGGGCCCGGACCGTGCCTTCCGCGAAAGCGAAACCAAGGAGGAGGCGGTTATCAAACTGAGACGCGACACCGACTCGGCGACAAGTAAGGCGTGGCGTGGCGTGGTGGGGGCGGAAGAGGGGGCGGGGGGACTCTCTCATCTTATACCGACCCCGTGAAGCACGTGATCCGTGATCCACCCCGTCTTGGAGGAGCTCTCGCGATACCACCGCACCTCATGGCTCCCCCGGGGGCGCCCTTTCTTCCTTTCTCCCTTTCGCACTGGAGTGCAAGAACACTCGGAGGCCACCGTATGTCGTACGTGTTACACCATATTCCCCATGCGCGTATTTTTCGTTCACATTTCACAGTTTTCAAACACGGGCACGCTCTTACCTTTGGGATGCTGGCCTTCCTCTTGGCCGACATGGTGAGGCTGGCGACGGCGACGACGTCCTCGGCGGCCTGCCTGCGCTTGCTCGCGGTCCTGTGCGGACGCGCGCCGGAGCTCGGTGGGCGCCCTGTGGAAAGAAAAAAAAAGAGGGGGAAAAAGGATTAGATCAATATCAGAAGGGAGCCAACGCCGGTCTTTAATGATTCAGGATGACGACGGGCTTGGCCTGTGGCCTGGCCACTGCCGGCCGCCGCCCCTGCCCTGTCCGACGCACCGACCCCCTGTGGCGACACACACACACGCGGACACTCACACACGCACGTCTCACACACACAGATCGCATACAAACATAGTATTCACTTACCGCCACCACCACCCCCCACCCCCCATACATTCACATTCACCGGCACAGTCATTCGCGTACAATGTGCAAATTGCAGCGACGGGTCGCAAACTAAATATGTATTGTATCGATAGCAAACAAGCGGGCATTTGGCATATTGCTTTATTCATTTCTCCCTTTGAGAGCGTAGATTTCTTACGGGATGGGGAAAACTACCAAAAAGTTGAACTGGCTCAGTAGGGCATTAAGGGTGGGTTGCCTACCCGGTCCGGAGCCAGGCGCCGCTGCGCCGTGGTCAGTGACAGTAGGCAAACCCGCTAGCACGAACCGTGTCGCGCCGTGACCACATTGGGGTGACGCCGCGACGAACGTTTTTCAAAATGACGACGGAAACCCCGTGGAAATGAGGAACCTGCTTCCACGACCGTCACGGTGCACCTCCCCGTCACACTGGCATGGTGTGACAGTGTTGCGCACCCAAACAACGGGCCCGACCCAACTCACGAAAACCTCATTGTGACCTCTTTATGACATACGAGGTCACGATTCTTGCACTTGTGACCCCACCGGTGACTTCTCAAGTGCAAGAATCGTGACCTCAGAGGTCACAATGAGGTCTATGTGAGAAAAACGTTTTCCTTGGGGAGACGTGGCCGCAGGTGAGCCAGTGTCAACAAGTTATTGGAGATCTTTATTTAATACGTCTATTAGCCTTCTGTCTCGAACCAGAGTCTATAGTGCCTCCACCTAAGCCCTCTTAACCTTGGCGACGGTTTCAGATTCGCGGGAGTCCCGTACTACGACTACGACAACTCGGAGTATCTTTGTCAGAATTTTGCAAATTAGGTTGGGTCGGCGCCATGATGTACCGTTGACACTGAGCGCCCCGGTTAACGTCGAGTGATTCACCTGGTCCTTCCCCTTGTGTGACACTCACCTTCTTAGTGGCGCTTGTCGACGGCGCGTTAATCCACTGCGACAGGTCACTGCGGTGTCACTCGCGGTGCAGGACAGAGAGAGACAGACGGCGGTGCACAGAGCGGAGCAGAGAGAGAGAGAGAGAGAGGGGCATACAGCCCGGGGTGAACTCGCCGGCCGGCGCCGATGCGGCAGAGGGAGTGAGCGAACGAGAGAGAGAAAGGGAGAGGCCGGGACTGGACGCTGCCTCCAGGACTGTTCTCTCGCTCGGCAAACACTGGACTGACTGGCGGATCGCGCGCGTCGCGGAACGCACGGGAGTGAGAGAGTGGGTG